AATCCGTGAATAATCTTATTATTTTAAATGTTCATAGTCAGTTATAATTGTGGGAGAAATTATGAAGTAATACTAATGTGAATTGAATTGGTTGAATTTCACTAGATGAAAGTAGGCAAATGGTTGTAACCAAGTTTCGTATGTACTTGTCAGAGAACTAGTATTTAATTGGCCCTCATCAAGATCACCTCACGGATCGCTGTTAGGAATGATACTTGATTAATGGTACTATTTGTGTATCCCAAGTACTTGAGAGACATACTGGGACTTAAGTGTAAGGAGTGTTATGATTTGCTATGGTCAAATGTTGGTCCTTAATCAGGCAATTATAAAAGCCATTTTCAGCTACAATGTGAACTATGTACGAGGTTTATGTAGTCAAGATGGACTTGTTCCTATTATGTGTTGAGAGCTGGACATATAAGATGCCTTACCAAAATTTAAACTCCATATGAGAGTGATTGCGATTCCTATCTCATGTTCAACGTGATGTCTGTGAAAAAGGGATAACTGATAACTTACCTTATACACCCATTGTAGCTATGAGCTTCTGGGGAATTGGGCGTTGATAGAATGGCACCAAGTCATATGTTGTTGGGGAATTGGGCATTGATAGAATGACCTTTTCACATGCCAAAATCGTGAGTATGCTTGACTTAATTATTCTCTCTTGTTTTTGCTTTTACACTTGAAAGAACACTTGCATTTTTCTCTCTCTAAGTTTATACTTTGGTTATGAACTTAAACCATAATAGTTTTAAGAGTTTTACACGACTAGCATATTAAATCAAGTTGAGTTCTTGTTGGTGTCTCAAATATTTCCACATTCTCCATCAACTTCCAAGCCTTCCAAGAGGACCCAAAGAACTACAAAGGTTGTTATTTCTTCATTTCCTTCTTTAGTTGTACTTTTATCTTTCCATTACTTGGAAGATGATCATTGGTGGGTGTAATTTGTTATGTTATTTTAAAAAAAAATCAAGTCTTCCGTTTTCCATTTTACTAGTTTATGAAACTAATTTAAAAATAAAACCCTACAATTTTGTAGCATTTTATAGGAAAATTCGGGATGTGAACCACACACTTGGTCGGGGGTGATGAAGTGGCGTCGTCTGGGTGGTGAGACGTGTCATGATCTTGTGGTATGTCAGAGGCGCGTCACACACCTTGTTGGTGGGCGTGCTTGCACACAATTTTTTTAAAAAAATTTTAAAAATTTGTATCTTCTTCATATGAGCATTTTTCAATGCATTTTATATCAACGCGTAGCTATAGACGAGATCTACAACTTTCATTTAGACTTTGTCGGCTAATTTTAACTTTATTTTTAAAATTATATTTTTAAGATGCTTAGACTGTTAAAGTCTATTAAAAATTCATAACTCTCTCGTATCATATCCGTCTTCGACTATATTTATATCAAATGATAGGTATTGATGAGATCTTCAACTCTCATTTAGATTGTTTCGGCTAAAAATCGACCAATCTAAAATTCGATTTTGTGCTTACATACCTGCGTTGAAACTTTGAAAAATATAACATCCTTTCATGAAGTCAGATTTAGGCATTCTTTGTATGCACACTCTTGGTTTTACAAATACTACGACTTTTTTTTAGATTACTTAGGCTAAAAAGTAATTTATCAAAATTTCACTTTTTACGATACATAGAGTTGTGTTGGTTTAATTGCGAAACTTCGAAACAACATAACTTTTTCATACGAAATTAGATTTCAGATTTCTTTATATCAAATGATAGGTATTGATGAGATCTTCAACTCTCATTTAGATTGTTTCGACTAAAAATCGACCAATCTAAAATTCGATTTTGTGCTTACATACATGCGCTGAAACTTCGAAAAATCATAACTTCCTCTCATGAAGTCCGATTTAGGCATTCTTTGTATGCACACTCTTGGTTTTATGAATACTACAACTTTTGTTTAGATTACTTAGGCTAAAAAGTAATTTATCAAAATTTCACTTTTTACGATACATAGAGTTGTGTTGGTTTAATTGTGAAACTTCGAAACAACATAACTTCTTCATACGAAATTGGATTTCAGATTTCTTTATATGTACGAAAGGCTTTACATATATAATATAATTTTGATTAAGGTTATTTATCCTAAATAACCTTCTATCAAAATGTCATTTTTTTCGCTTATTATATCTTAACTGTCTAGCCCGAATCTATGGACATTATAAGCTTATTGATCCAAACTATCTCGATTGAATTCATTCTCTATGGATCACCTTTAGGTATGAGAAGAAATAGTATGTTTTGGATGATGATATCCTTAATCAATATTATGAAGAAGCTATAATTGAAGAGATAGTTGATTATGAAAAACATCGTAATCACTTGACTGAAGTCGCATGTCTTATGTTGATGGCCATGGTTCGGAGCTCCAAAAGAACATCGAGAACCTTGGGGAATTCGACAAGAATGAGAAGCATAAGAAAGTGCTCCAAGAGAAAGCTAGACATTAGCTATTCGATGTCGTGTGGTCTCTTCTAGGGTGCAAGCTTCAAGAGGGAGGATCTGTCACTACCTGTGTTCTTAAAAAGAAGGGGTACATTGACAGGCTTGAGCGTATAGGTGTTCCATTTCCTTAAGAGTTGGATATAGGCATAATGCTCAACTCTTTAATTGGTTTGTATCATCGTTTCATTTTCAACTTTAATATGAACACCACGGAAAAGACCTTGATGGAGCTTCTGGTATGTTGAAGATCGCCAAGTTAAGTATGATCACGTCTCGTAGTGTCAGCTCTCTAATACTCCTATTTTGGCCATTAAGGAAGGTCGTTTTAAGAGGAAGAAGTGTTGATTTTTCTATGCACTATACACTAGATTAAGGCAACAGAAGTATTCAAAATTCATCCTAAGTGTACACACACCCTAGGATCTAAGTTTTACTATTATTGTGATGTACTTTTAAAAATAACCTAACAAGCTAAAAGAAGGAAGGATTGAAACACTAACCTTTTGACAAATTAAATTGTGCTTAAAGTTCCTTTCATCTCTTGTTGCTCTTGGAAAGACGGGTACCCAAAGTAGAGTACCTCTAATGGTTCACACCCAAAAGTCAAGAACCCTATAAACTAAAGGAGTGATATATTAGGGAGAGTTGGATCATATTTTTTAGCCTTCCAGGAGCTGTATTTGAGCCGAGAATATGAGCACCCTAAGGCCTCTTTATATAGATGTGGTGGTAACAAGATAACCTTGATTTGAATAAATTATAGATTAACATTTAATCCGGATTCAAATTTCTTCCTTATCTTTTTCTTGGATTGATTTTGAAAGCCTCCAAGGAGCCTCCCAAAATTCCAGAATGTTCCCTTTGTTTAACTACTGAACAATTAACACTTAGTCCTTGCACCTCTATGTTTATTCCAGTTAATCCCAAATTAATTTTAGATTAATTATAATTAATTTCAACTAGTTTCTAGTTAATTTATTAATCATGTAATAAAATAATAAACTATTTTCTCAACCTTCTAAAATTATTTCTAGCTATTATTTCTCTTGAGGGCAACCCAAAAAAGGAATTTACCATTATTCCCAAAGTTACACAAACTAGTTATGATATTGGATACATATTTCCAACAAGAAGACATCTTATCCTAAAACAAAGGGAAAGAGTAAAGTTGGATAGTCCAACCTAAACCCTAAGAAGGTAAACTTTAAGATACCACTTATAAGTGACCCTAATGAGGCCATCTGTTTAAACTTCCAACAAAAGGGACATCAAGAAGAACAAGCCTAATAAGATTAGCACCTCATATATTTTTACGACCGAACTCCGTGTTGCTTCAACTTTTGATTCTTAGATCCTTGACACAAAATATGGTACTCACATTTGGTCTAAAGTGCAAGGACTAAAGCAAATTCAAAAGCTATAGCATGGTGAGCTTGACTTGATAATGTGAAACAAGAGAAAAGTTGGACAATTCGCAATGATGTGGCATTGTCAACTTTGTCATATAAACAAAAAACACATTGGTAAACTCTAGTCAGATGGGAATTTGGAATCATTTGACTTAGAGTTAGATGATGTATGTAAGTCTTGTTTGCTTGAAAAGATGAAAAAAACGCCATTCACAGGTAGCTGTGAAAGAGGCAAGAACTTGTTGGACAATTCACAATGATGTTGTTACTAATGGGGATTACGAACTTATTCTATCCAGTGCTTTTTGAATTAGATTATTAGTTTGTTGCTATTTACCTTACATGGAACGAAACATCATTTTATTTCTTGCATTGTACCAAGATGCTTTTACATTTGGAATTCATAATGGTAGTATTTTGGTTTTCAAAATAAGTATCTTTATTTCAAAGAAAATCCATGCAATGACATATATGAAACTATTATAGGTTTGAGGGAAAATGATAGCTTAATCTAAAGTGTTGATTCTTCCAAAGATAATTTGGATAAATCATGTTTGTGATATTGTCGAGTTGGTCATATAAACAAAATACACATCAACAAACACTAGTCAAATGAGACCTTGGAATCATTTGATTTAGAGTTAGATGATCTATGTGAGTCTTATTTGCTTGAAAAGATGAAAAAAAAAACATCATTCACAGTTAGTTGTGAAAGAGACAATGATTTGTTGGACAATTCACAATGATTTGTGTGGACCATTCAGATCTAACATGAGAAATAGTGAGAGATACTTTGTCATATTTATTTATGATTTTAGTAGACATGAGTACATTTATTTGATTAGACTTAAATCTAAAACCTTCGTGGTTCTCTAAAACTTATCAACTTAAGGATTTTAATATTATTAACAAATAAAAAAAAGTTCTTTGTTGTGCTTTTGATTCAAATAACTTTTTCAAACTCAATGATACCAATTTCTAGTGTTCTATGATTGTATAAGATTTATTTTATTGTTAGCAATCAAGTTAATATGAATTCTTCTTATACTCTTGGGCTAAGTAATAAATAAAAATAATTGTTCATTTTTTTTTCAATATACATCAAGTAGTTGTACATACCACATATCATATTGTACCTTGTTCTTCTTTTGTCCCCCACCACCTCCATGAATGATACCCAAGAAAATATTTGTATTTGAATATCTAGTCTATTTGTTTGTATAAAATGAGGCCACATATAAATTTTTATTTCGTTTATTAGTAATCCGGCTTAAAAAGCTATACAAAAGAAAATGGATCGGCCCACATAAGATAACCCACCAAAGAGGCTCTCATTTTATCTTAATCTTTAAACTTGGAATTTGAGGCCATCCATTTCTCTTAAAACTTCTATCTTCTTTAGAATACGAAATTCCTCAGAAAAATCAGGGGAAAAAGATGCCAACGTTGAATCTCTTCACCAACATCCCAATAGACCCAGTGATAGCCTCCGACATTCTCAAAGATGCCACTAAAGCTGTCGCAAAGATAATCGGCAAGCCTGAGTCAGTTAAGTTTCCTAATCAACCCCAAAGTAATGCCCTCCAACTGTTTGTTGAAATGTCCCAATGAACAGCTTGAAGTATCTTGCATTGTTGCACCTCATTTTTTTTACACAGTTCTTTTATTTTTTCCATTTGAAAGACACAAAAATGAAAATACAATCGTTTGAGAATTTAATCACTTACATAATTTGTGTCAAATTTGGGCAGTATGTTATGATTTTGTTGAATGGTGGTGTGCCAATAGCATTTGGTGGCACCGAAGAGCCAGCTGCATATGGTGAAGTGATTTCAATTGGAGGACTTAATTCAACTGTTAATGGAAAGTTGAGTTCAACGATTGCAGAAATTCTTGAAACAAAACTTTCTATAAATAGTTCACGTTTTTATATCAAATTTTACGATGTTGAGGTATTTTTCTTTTTCTATGACATATTATGTCTTCATCTGCACAGACTTTCTAAGGCTATTCTTTGTTGTTTCAGCGATCGTTTTTTGGGTTTAATGGATCGACATTTTAAGTGGAACGTGAATAAAAGGATTATATTTGTGGAACTTGTCTTTGGACAAAATTTATCATTATTATTAATGTTGTAAGATAGTGTTGTAATTTATTATTATTGTTCTTGTTTATTTTACTCTTCCTAGTGAACTTTTTGTTTAATTAAGCCATGGAGAAAATATGAGAATCTATATTCTGGTCTTTGAGTTCTTAAATTTGTGTATTGAAGATGGTTTTTAGATTTACAAATGAACAAAATGGAAGTATCTATATATGTGTGTTTTTGGAAAATAATGTAATTTCGTTTTATTTAATTCTTTGTAATGTTTGGTAGGGGTGTGCATAAAACCACACAAATCATACAAACCACCTGCAAACCGCATTGCGTAATGCGGTTTTGGATTTACGTAGTGCGGTTTGCGGTTTTTAGTTACAAAATTGTTGATCGCAGTGTATGGTTTATATCTTAATCTTAATTTCTTCCAACTGTGCAACTGTTATATAAATCGTATATATGTTTTGGAAACTAAAACATGTAAATATTTGTTTGCGTTAATCTCTACATAAGACGATCAAAAAGTGATAAAAGGAATAAACGTTATTATTTTAAAAATATCTAGGGTTTTTATTTTAAAAACAAAAGTATGAATAACTCACAACATTTCTAGTTCTTTTAGACATGTTGGACCTTTATGTATATTCGTTATGCTTTAATAAGTAAATATTTACATGGAAATTTATACAAGAAGTTATTCATATTAGTTTTTAAAAAGTTGTTTTATTTTTTTAAATGGCAGAATTTTATTAAAAAACTAACAAGATGCTAGAAAATAAACATTACAAAACAAGACAAGTAGAAGCAGGATTTAGTAAACACATTGTCCATCTAATTTTAACCTTGCTACACATATTGGAGATTCAAAAATAAGATATATGCACAATATTATAAAAAAATTTTAAGATTTCCTAGGAATAACCGTTCCAAAATCAATGGAATTTTCAAAATTCAACAAGCACCATAAAGTTGTCATAATCATTGCATCGAAGACCTTCCTTTGTCGACTCCTTAAGTTCACCGTATCCGACCAATCTACAAGAGACTGCACGTAAAATTGAACCGGGCACCGGACATTCCACCAAGTAGCAAACGGGTCCAAACCTCAATCTGTTTAGTACACCCAACAAAAATATGGCCAACGGATTCAACAAATAAAGAATAAATAGGGCATAAGATCGAATCAATGGTAATGCCTCTATGAGAAAGTCTCTCTCTTGTAGGTACACTCAAAAGAGTAATCCTACATATTAAGATATTAATCTTAATAGGAATGACATTTTTCCAATGAGTTTTCGTACCTCTTAAAAAAAGCATACCACCATCAAGGAACCGACGAGCAGACGAAATCGAAAAAGTATCAGAAACATCAAGAACCTTTAACCACACTAACATATGAGTTTCCAAGAAAATGTTGTTTTTCCACTTTAGAACGTAATCCGGTAGTAGGAGGAGAAGAACCTTTCTAGTCAAATCTTGGGATGGAAGCAAAAATTTTATAAGAACCAAACCAGATAGCACATAATTTGTTAACCAAATCATCAACATTATGAATCCTTTATATCTAGCAAAACCAAAATGTTTGCCCAACCGAGACTTCTTATTAGAGATAAAGATATCAAAAAGTATTCCAAGGCGAGAACAAACCTTCCACAGTTCATTGAAACCTATTGATTCAGAAAAATTCGTAATGAAAAAAGATTGCACATCGTGACTTACAGATACATGATTCCTATGGAGTCCAATCTGATGAGTTTTAACACGCTCCTGGGGTTTTTATTTCTTATTCCACATGCGAATGTGACTTTGGCCCGAAAATCTGAACCGAACCGAAACCCGAACCGAGTTAGGCCCGAGTAATCAATTCGATTCGGGTTTCGGGTATCTATATTATGCTTATTTGGTTCTTGGGTTATTCAGTTCGGGTTATCCAAATAAGAGCTTATCCGGTTCTAAATACCCGACCCGAATAAGCATTACTCTTCCACTTTCTCTGATCGATAGAAATCAAAATCACGATTCACATTTCTATCCTCGTCATTTATGAAAAAAAATCCCTATGTTCATTCTCATCGTTTCAACATCGACCAATCTTCTCATCTATTTCCAAACTCGAAATCACTTTTGTTGATCCTTCCTCTTGTTTCAAACTTTCAAAACTTAGCCCTTCTTATTGTCTCTTAGGATTCACAAATTCCTACTTTGTGTAGTCATGGAAAATTGGACTCCAACACAAGAAACTCAAGTAAGAAATTAAGTATCATTATGTTAATCTACTATGTAAATGTTATTCTTTCAATGTGTTATTCTGTTATGTTACTCTATGAATGATTTATGTTGACGTATAAAAGTACATTGTTATTCTATTATTCATGTTATAGAATTCTAATACGATTTCTTCGGTTTTTTCCGGTTATATTAAGTCCTTAATTATCTTCTACATGTTATTCGGGTAATAACTGAACCAAATCTATTAATACCCGAACCGAACCGACCCCGTATTGATTATTCGGTTCGGTTTTCGGTTCATGCAATTACCGTTATCCTGTTTTCGAGTTATTCGAGTTCGGGTCAGTTCGGTCCGGTTCCGACCTGAATAACATCCCTAATTCCACATACCTTCATCGTTTCTTTTAGTCTCCATGCGTAACATATTAGGCAAAGTAGATCATACGAAATACCCAAGAAAGCTTGAACGAAGTGAATAATAAGACAACAGTCGCCAGAGATCAAAACCCTACCGGCGTTTATACCCGTCGGTGAAGGGACGAGAAGGTTCCAAAATACAGTCTAACTAAAATACAGTTTTTATAAAATTTTCAGTGGCTTGTTTGATTGATTAGTGTTGTTTTGGACAAAGTTTGTAGCACCTTAATACTATTAGAAATAATATACTTTTAAGATCTTAAGACAAATAATTTGACTAGTTACATTTAGTTTGATGGGTGTTAAACTATTTTTTTTAGTTATTTATCGCACCGCACTAAAACCGTCCGCACCGCACTAAACCGCACCACATAACATGGTTTAGACCCTTTATGGTGCGCTTTGTGGTTTCTGAAAACCTTAAACCACACATGCGTTGCAGTTTTGACTCTAAACCGCACCAACCCACACCACGCACACTCCTAATTTTTGGATCTATAATAGTTTGTATATACGTTATCTCTTTTATTTGTAATTTTAATTCTATCTATTTCGTTTGTTTTATTATAATTATTTAAGGTTATTGTTTCAAATATAAAACATGTAATATAAATGGTGCATTTTTATAATGTATAGTATTTCAATTAATAGGGAAAATGACTATTGAGGGTAACTAACTGCTGCGTTTGTTTTCATTTGATCCATTTCATTTTTTTTGTACTCAATATACCATCGAACTTGTTGTTTGTGTTCACCATAACCCTTTTGACTAGCTTTTGACCTGTGATTGCCCGTCAAAGGGTTATGGTGAACACAAACAACAAGTTCGATAGTATATTGAGTACAAAAAAAGGAAAGGGACCAAATGAGAACAAACTCAACAGTTGGTTACCCACTTGAGTTATTTTCCCCGAAAAGTTAAATGAAACTAAAGTTGCAAAATTTTCAAAGACTGCAACATTCTTTGGACATAACGTATATGAAGAGCGTTTCGGAGGGGTAACTTCGTTAAAACATGGTCTATGCTATGCTTATTGTGGTTAGTTGTCAACACTTCTCTACAAAAGGATATGGCTGTGTATGAGAGGTATATTTATCAACATAAACGTTTACCCCAAGATATATTATGATGATGTGTCTGTAAAAGCTAAATGATATTGTACATACTGATGTTGTATCTTATCCAATGAATTTGATATTAAAGCTAAGTAAACTAAAAAATCACAGCACTTGTGATTCTACTTGTCTGTAGACTTGTCTAGAATCCATGATACAATAAATCATTTGATTGGAAATGTAAATGAAATGCACCTGCTTAGTCAAATTTCCCTAATAAATATTTAAGTACATTACAAAGTTGTACATGTATGAATAATATTCTTTCATGGGTTATGTTTTGAAGAGAAGCAAAATGAATCTCATAAAGTCATTATTATCAATATGAGATGACGTGAGATTTGTTGTAAATGAGTAAAGGGGAATGAATCAGAAGGGTAACCAGCTATTGTATTTGTTCTCATTTGGCCCCCTTTTTTTGTACTCAATATACCATCGAACTTTTTTTTTTTTTTTTTTTTTTATGTTTACCATAACCATTTGACCGACTATCACAGGTCAAAAGCCGATCAAAAGGGATATGGTAAACATAAACATCAAGTTCGATGGTATATTTAGTAGAAAAAAAATGGACAAAATGAGAACAAACGCAACAATTAGTTACCCTTAAGAGTCATTTTCCCAACCAATTAATAATGTTTTTTTTGTCTTTTTGTATTTTTATTCATTTCGTTTATGCTTTTTATTACTCAACAAGGCTGTAGATGGGAATTAACAAGGATGTGGTAGATTTTGTATAGGTAGTGATAAAAATGTGTTTGTAATTCTACAAAAAAAATTGTATAAATCAATCGAGATATGCTTCTTGAATGAGGTTGGAAACCTCTTGATGTTTATTAAACTACTACGCCAAAAAAATCCCCTCAATGAACTTCACATATACTGATGATTTCTAGTGGGAGCTACAAATTTATGCATAGATTATCAAATACGAAAAGCCCACAAATTGGATTTGAGAGGTTATCATGCTTTGTTGGATTAGGTGTCTAAGCCCATAACTAAAATTGGTTTGTACTTGAATTGATAGTAGCAATGTCCTTTTGGGTTGCCTTCAAAACTAGCAATGGAATAGGATAATTGTTGGAGAGAGAAGAATGATTTATTAATTTATTACTTGGTTAATAAATTAATTTGAAATCAAGATAAATGATTTATTAATGTATTATGGATATAATATATTGATTAGAAATCATATTGTTTGATTAATATTTAATCAAAAATTAATTTGGAATTAATTTTAGGATTAAAGGAATAAATTGAAACTGCAGCGACTAAAGGTGACAATGTTCAAAAGTTGAGCATTAAAGCATTCCAGAACCTCCCTTAGAGGTGGGGAATGAAATCTTGAGTGTCCTAGGGTTTCCTTGGGCTCTAAGAGTGCCTTGGAAGCCTTAGGGAGGAAGTTAAGGGATTAGGGTTATCTAAGATACACTTGTCTTATCCTAAACCTTTCTTATCACCTATATAGACCCCTATA